CGTCGCCGCGGCGCTCAGGCGTAAGCTCGGTGCGAGAAAGCGAGGGCCTCGACGACGAGAGGAAGTCCGAGGAGCGTTTTACGAGGACAAGATCCCAGAGGAGGGATGGAAAAGTTAAACGTTCGCAAACTTTCCGTCGTTCCCCTCGCTCATGATCCTGCGCGTCGTTCTCATCTGTGCTCTTCCTCGTCGAACCGACGAACGATCTTCCCGTCGCCGACGCAAAGCCGTGGCGACGATGACGACGACGTCGGACTCACGTGGACAGCGAGGGGACTGTGCTGTGCCGAGCGTGGAAGCCGAGTCGGAATTTTGGCTCTATGTTAAACCTTTAACACGTTGACTGCTACGCTAACATCGGGTATGAGTCCTGCGGGGCCAAAATTTACGAGCTGCCCCCCGACGCCTCGCGCTATCGTATATGCGGTAAACGAAAACATTTAATAAGTGAACTGACTACATTCAGTCCCTTTACAAAAATATTTTATCCGCTTTCATCTCTCATATGACCCGGTTTTCTTCACCCTTTTTAATCTGTTCTATTATGCTCGTTTTTTTTTTCGCACTCTCAGACACGCACATATTGACTCTCATATACTAAAATAACAATCAAAATAACATATCCTAAAAATAACAATTATGCTCGGGCTGTTTGGAAAATTATCATGCAAAATAAATGTAATATCGTGTTTAATTATATCGCGTGTAATTATATATTTCTTTATAAGTTTGTTTATTTAGAAGTTAACGAATATAGTTTCGTCAAAGTAGATTTTTACTAGCCTGTAGGCCACCTAGTAAAGTATCCTTAAGAGCGTGAAAGAAGCGTCGAAATTTCGACTGGGGGATCGGAGACAAACAGGCGGGATTCCGCGACAGTAAAACCGGGGGTGTGTTTCTGGATTTCCAATACACATCCAGGTTCGGCACTCTGTCGGCCTCTTAGAGAGGAGGAAGGAAGGTGGGAAAGAGTGAAGATCATCTCGATAGAAGGGGTGCGCTAGGTTACCGCGGTCTGCTTTACGAGCCAGCAATTCCCATTCCGCGTCATAAAGTTGTTTTCCTTCGCCTCGTCGGCATCGTGGATGTAGCCGCCGAAGTTGCGGCCGGTGCAGCGCGTCTCGGAGACAGCGGCTACGAGTCATTGTTAATGTTTACGGGGCTCGCGCGTATCGATGATCGTTTGGTGGATGCACTTCGACACGGTGCTACGGCGAATTGCGAAACGCCGAATTCCGTCGTCTAGGGAAGCGTGAATTGTGACCGAGGAGATTTTACGAGGCAATCTCTATTCGTGGCTTCGATATTTCAGCGATATTTCCGCCCTCGAAACGCGCGTCGTCTCGCGCGCACGACCGTCGCGAGAACGTTTCGTACGCGGTGTCTCATTGTAAGCGCGAACATCGCGCTCTCGTGACATCGATTGGTGCTGTCTGAATGTATAATCCAGCTAGTACCCGAATAACGAGTATTACCCGAGCGACTAAACAGCAAATAGTTACAAGCACAATTGGGAAAGTTAACTTCTGAAAAGTAACTCGTTACACCGAAAGAAAAAAATCTAAAAAACAAGAGAAATATCTATTCACTGGATACTAATAACATATTTCTTTAAATCTAAATTTCTTTTATCGAAATAGAATAAACAATTGCTTTCGTGGAAAGCTACAGGTTTACGAAACTTTTTCATTTTTTACAGTGCGTGAAAACATGCGTATTGATATAAGTAAATATGTTGTTAGTATCCGCATCGAAAATATCATATTTATTTCTTCGATATTTTTTTTCAACGCAGAATATATATTTTATCATTGAATGTGGGATGTGTTGTGAAACTCGTCGAGGAAAAGTATCGCTTTCATCACCAGACTATGTGCACCAGGGAGACAACTGCAGGATATGGGTATTTGGGTAAAACATTCAAGAGACCCGGGCACTTAGGTGCTTTGAGATTGACACTGTTAATATTTATTAACATCGTGGGGACGAAACATTCTGTGCTCGTGCATTTTTATTGCTGTTCTGCGTTCGAACGTTTCACTCGGACGAGAAGCGTTCGATCGAACCTGGTATTCCGTTCGTCTTATACGACATCACGTTCCGTTGACCACCTTCCTCGAAGAGTACGCTACGTGCGCATCTAAGCGACCCACACTGCGCCCGAGTACGTATTCTCAACTTTTACCGGCGCTCGCCGCCGTTTGGTCTCCCGAGGACCTCGTCAAGTAAAAACGCGCAGATTCAAAATCGTATTCGGACTTCGGCTTCGATTCGAATGCAATCTTCCGGCGCGCACGTACTCTGAGTAAATAGGGGGACCCCGCTGTAGTAATACTACTTCCCAACTGGTGCGAGGCGTATAGTCTTTAGCGAATGTTTCGGCCGATAGAAAGAGCATTGAGCCGATAGGAAGAGCGTTTGATAAATAATGGTAAGTCATTAGCCTTTCCCATCTTGATATCACCAATCTCGATATTACTTATTAATTGCGGTAAACTTGGATTGCTCGATTGCTACAAATACTATTTTATAATATTGTATTGTGTGTGATTGGTTGAAATTGGTTTAGTCCTAGACTTTGAAGATAAATTATGTTTAGTGAAATACGAAACAAAATTGGAGGAAATTTGGTTAAAAACTGAATTTCGCTTTATTATTATTATTTAAAGTTTTATTATTATTATTTAAAAACTCTACGATTATCATTTTAATTTTGCCGGCTTCAATTGTGGAGTCATCGCAGCAGTCAGTACAATATTATAACTCCATCGTAAAGAGAGAGTTAATCGGCATTAGCGAAGGTTGAATTATTAATAAAGTAATGCCGTTTAATGAGCGAATTTATGTTACAAACACACGTGCACGCGTTCAAGTCAATATTACGATGTATCGGAATAAACCCCGGGTAATTTAAGAGAATAGGAGGGAAACGATAATATATGTATATTCTGATGGCATTACGGCGCGGTCCGACGCTCAGCAGATGATACTGAGAGCTATTATGCTGCTTTAATAACGAATGAAAATGCCGCACATTCTCATCGTTTAATTAATTCTTTCCAGCTCGAATGTGACGGCGGGGAGTATTTAATTACTCTTCTACACGCGGCCGCGTAACTTCTATGTAATCGTTAGCCATACGGATTCACGCAGTAACATTAAAACATTACGACGGGCTTATACGGGTGAACCTATTAAAAAAATATTATCATAATCACGATGTAATGCCGGCTGTTATTTCGCATGGCTTGGTGAAATGAACCAAAAATCTCTCTTTTTCGTGTGCGCATTTTACGTAATTATCGTAACTAAAACATGACACGGTTCTGCGCGTAAACGAACGTAAATCCGTAATGTATACCGCATATTAATGGCAAATATCGGCCAAATTTTTCGGAAGCGCACGCATGATGTGAGTTTTCACTCTATTCGAGAAATTCTTTAAATATATTACAAAACGATATTTTTTTTTTATATTTAAATATGTTGGTTAATTAATGCAAAATCAACGTTAGCAAACGATTTTTCCGACCACTCGAGTCGGAATTCTCTAGCGCTACTTTGACGCTCGTAAAAATATGTTTGCGCCTACGTAGATGGTCCGTGGACTAATAAAATCTTTGACAATGCTGACATTTATTAATTTCTCCGTTGAATCTTAAATTCCGTAGATTTAATAAAAAAAAAAAAAAACGAAAATATTAAAATATTATAAGTAAAATCAGCTAAATAAATTCGACCGACTTTACTTTTCTTCAATTTATTTCTTTTATTGCGTATCATCAGAGTTTTTTACCTTTTGCTAAGAATTTAATTTCCACATTACCTTCTAATATCTTCTTTGTGCACAATTATGAGAAATACATTATTATTATTATTAACGACTTATTCTGACGTTGAAACAGCGAAAACGGAAATTTAAGACATTATCAGGGTCAAAAAGTGGAAGTAAATTATATTATTATAATTGAAACGTTTTCGAACCTTTTTCGTTATCTCAGCTCTTACTATGCTGCAGAATTAAAAATTTAACATGGAGCCAAAATTTCGACTCAAGCCCGGTAACGGGATTACACGTTAGTTGGGATTTCGCTCTGCGGCCTCCAAGTTTCACATACAGGACGCTCGCGTATCTCAAAATGTCGGGGTGAAATTTTTAATTGCGCAATTCGGTCTATCTATTTTGCAGATGTTCCGCGAAGCTCATTTCCCCCGTGACGCTCCCTGCTGAATATGTAAATGGTTTCGCGTCAGATACGCTCTTTAATTCTTGACGCGAGTCGTCCGCGGATCTTATTTAACCCCTTTCGCGAAGTTCGCGCGTGTGCGCTACTGTAACGCGCGGAAGGTGAATGCGAACTACATTATTTGAGCGTGGCCCTAGTTTATTTGTATTAACGAAACGCAACTACGTTAAACAGATTAAAGGAACGCATTAGCCGCGCCACTCGGTCGGCTGCCGGCGTGCGCTCTTCAGCGGGTCGTCAAAAGTTTAAGCCGATAATTAATGCGTTACCGTCGTAACGCGCTTAATGCAATGTTGACTGTTATAATTAAATTTAGAACTAGATAGCGGCGTTAGTTAGTCCGGGCTTCACAATGCGGCCGGAGCACAATGCGACACGGCGGCGCGACGTGTTGTTCGTTAGATCGTCGCGTCAACCGGTGCGCGCTTTACCGACGTCCCGCGATTCACTCCGCAACTCGCCGGTGCTTAATCGCCGTCTCCGAGAGCAATTCTGTGTCGTTCAGCCTCGGTAAGGCGGACGGAAAAATTCATCGTCCGAAGGAAGCCGAGTGTGCACGGGGATGGCCCGGTTGAGCTCGCTCAACGCTCGTGTCGCGTTTTGCTTATTTATTGTCTATTTTTTCAGTTTTCTTATTGTTTGAAAAAATGCGAAAAATCCCTGAAACATCCAATTTTCTTCCCGCTTACGTCCCGCGCGTCACGGGCATACCGGTAACATCGGCTGCTCGGTTAAGAATGCGATCGGACTCACCGGTAACCTTGATGTGGTAAGGTAACTGAGCGCGCCACGTGTCCTGCATCTTCCGGTCGGGTGCGACGCATCGGTACTCGCCGGCCTCTTGATACACCACCCGGCTGAGAGCGAGGGGCCCGGGCCCACCAACCGGATCCATCCCGGGACCGTGACCCCAACAGCCGCCGTCGCACTCGAGGGTGACCGCGCCGCCGATCTGCACCTCCATCCTTCGGGAATCGGTCGCCTCGCCGTTCAACGCCTCCGCCTCGGTCTCCATATCTGGATCATCTAAATGCCATTGATTTAAATCTCTCGACGAGCGACGGACCCGAGACTCGGACTCAAACGTGTATATATCCCTCCCTCGCTCTCCTTTTCGGTCACCTCTCTCGCCGTTGCTTCGATCGCGGTGAGAACAGACGAGTAGGCGAATGCAAGGTTCCTCAAGCAAGAGTTGGGACATCTTCAGCTTCTTACTGATTGGTCTAATTTCTTGTTTGGTAAACCAGGAATTGAAGATTGTCAAATAAGGAAAAATATCTATTTGTAATTTAATGTTATTCAAAGATAAAGGTGAATAATAGAGGATAACATCAAAATCGAGATACTATTTTGTTTTTAGGTTCTAAAGTTCTGTTGAAGATGTAAAATTATATATATATATATATCCTAAAAAATGTCCCTCTTTTATATATATTGTACAGACATTTTTCACAGATAGAGACATTTTAATAACAAGTCAGGCGCTATTTTTATCAAAAAGTCGGAGATATCTAGACTTACTTGAAGAACCTAGGCGGATGCGACGGCGAATAAGCCGCAACGTGGATACAGTGTTCGTCCGAAATGGCAGTTTCAGACTTGACCCTTCCTTTCCTCGTTCCCGCGCGCGAACTACCTCCCTCTACTTCGCGAATATGAGAGAGGACATGCGGCGAAATATACGATTCTGCGATAAAAGTAATGCCTCAGGATGAAATTCCGCGTTTCACACCCTCGTGTCCTAGAAGCTAGCGTGCACGTCTGTTACCACACGTGATATCACTCGCCCTTCGATACCGGGATGTTTGGTCAGTCACGAAAAGATCGCGACACTTTTTCTTATCAGTTTCAGAATGCACCCCGCGTCCAATAGGAGAATTTGCTTTTTCAATAATCCTCAGGAGATACATTTTCCTGTGCGTTGCGAGTCTCGTCGAGAAAAAGTGTCGCAAACTTTTTACGACTGACCATACGGATGTGAACATTTCCTGTGCGCGTTTGAAGATAACGTTATTCATAGGCTGTATTCGGGAACGCGACGGTTGAGTGAGCGCTTAAAGTCGCTGGGATATTTCTTTCAGATCAACCGTAGATCCGAAAGAACACCTCAATCAAAGGCGATAATCGCTCGACGGCTGCGTAACCGTCGTATTTCCTCAACGTATCCGAAGTGTGCATCGCACACGTTCACGTTTTTGTAAACCCGCGGCGTATTTATTCTCCGCCGTTACTTCGAATCGCCGCTTTAATATCGCCCGACCGGGTCGCGTCATCGATATCGAGGAATTATCCTGGTATCGGGAATCAACGGCACGTACGAGGGATAAAGTTGGGTCGGAATCTCCGCCCTCACGTGCCGGATCCGACGAAATCTTTTCTCCGCCGTACGTCGCGACGTACAACCGCCGGTTTCAACTTCCACCCCCGACCACCCCCTTTCCCTCCCCGCCTGTCCTCTTCGATTCCACCTATGGAGTTATACGGCAGCGATCGTTTGCTCTCCAGCTAGCGCTGTGTCCACACAGTTGCAGAGAGAAAAAAGAGAGAGAGAGAGAGAGAGAGAGAGAGAGAGGGGTGGGAGGTAAAGAGAGAGGATGAGAGGCGAAGGAATAAGCGAGGGGGTTGCTCGCATCTCTACCGGAGAATTAGAAGCGGACTGCTACGGTGGAATTCGTCTGAGAAAGAAGTGGGATGGGAGGGCGGGAAAGAGGGAGGACGTAGCAGTCCTTTGAGTTAGCAAGCTGATCCTCCGGCTCATCCTCTGGCAAAACAAAGGGATCAAAGTGGTGGGATGCGATAGGAGGCTTTCACTTCCTCTCGCTCGCTCGACTCCCAACTATACCTCGTTTGTCTTGTAGTTTGTTCGGAATTTTACAGCAAACACCGCTGTGATGCTTTAACAAACACGGGAGAAAAAGAGGGGGGGAGGGGGGGACGAAGCGAGGGAACCGTCAGCAGTCGGTCGGGCAGTAATTTGACGTTTTTCGTCGGCCGGCATTGCGCGATCCGTTACGCGAGTCCGAGGTGTGTATTCGCACGCGTTATAGAAAATTAGAGATCGACAGGACGAAACACGTGGTCAGGTTGAAGGTGTTTCCGCTTCGTGGCGCGATAAATGGCGTTGCTCGTACGGCAACTGTAAACCAACTCTGGATGTGCATCGAGAGCAAAAATATCTGAGAGGTGAAAACTATTTATTGGGTGGGCACCAATGATATATTTACTTAAATCTAAATTCTTCTGTTTAAATACCGAATAAATCATTGCTTTCATGAAAAGCTACAGATTTAAGTAAATGTATATTTTCTTCTTGGAAAAAATTCCTTAGCGTAAAAATATACAGGAACGTCCCGTGTATAAGTAGTTATATTATTAGTATCCACCGAATAAATATTTTTTTATTTTTTACATATTTTTACTCTCAGTATATGTTATTTCACTTGGTTTCGCAGGAGGTTCGATATTCTTGTGAATTTAGAGTTCCTACAGAAACTTACAACGTTTGGCATATTAGGAATTTTACGATCGCAAATTTGTAGGATTAGGTATTTGTAACATTTGTCCAAACGCGAGCCCGGAGCCGAACTGTCGCAAGATAACCGAGGTTCTAAAAGAAAGGTTTCCGAAGGGAAGAACCAAAAATCAAAACAGTGTTAAGACTACTGATGTCCGGTCAAATACGGCTGAAAAAATAAACGGACAAATCAGAGTCAAACGTCGGCGATTTGAGCGGTTAATTTGTACTTCTTCTTACGTTAGGCCTGTGTTTCCCCTCGCTCGGTTAATTTATACATTTCTCATAGCTCGCAAAACTATTTAAATAAAATCAAACGTCTGAGTTGCGGTACGTGACAGGCCTCGCGTCTCCTAACGATCCTCGTTACCTCCGATTTTGATCTATGGTCCCTTCTTGCGACGGCGACCCGCGATCGTTCCAAATCTTAACGCGATTCGCGTGCGCTAACGCGATTAAGGACCCTCATATACTCGTCCGTCTGTGATCGCGTTATCTCTAATTACTTTAACAGGCCTCTCGCGTTTCCGTAAATTCGATTACGCGCACGCCTAAGATATTCCTCCGAGCCGGGCCCCGGTTTTCGACTCACGGGGATCGCGCAAGTTGCTTCTACTTGATCGTGCTCGAGTGCGGACACTTGTGGGCGATACACGTGGGAAATGATGCGGGAATTTTTGCGTTATCGGCGAGATAACAAAGAATCTATTTGCGTGCAGCTGATAACGAATCAGCTCCGTCGATCTTTGTTAAGGTATCCCTTTAAACTACGCCTTATCAGTAGACTCTGTCTACAAGCCGGCGAAATTAGCGCGTCGGTTTAAACCCGTCGTGACGTTATCCGGCGGATAAGTAATCCGGGAGGAGATTCGAACAGGACGTGGTAGCAGTGTAATCGATAATTCCCACGAAGGAGGATGGTTGGTTTATAGGTGCTCTCGAGCCATCTAAATTGCGTAGAGATTAGGTGCTCGGAAGCCCGTATCCAGCATCGTCGGTCGAAGGAGCAGACAAGAAGGAGAGAGTGAGCGAGCGAGCGAGCGAGTGAGTGAGTGAGAGAGAGAGAGAGAGAGGGAGGGAGAGATGGAGATGAAGAAGAGAGTTAGATAGAGAACGGGAGAAGAGAGACGAGGGCCACGGGTTTGAGATGCAGGGAGCGCATCGCCCTCTGGTTATAATGGCAAGATGGAAGGAACGGGGCTGGGTAGGAAATTTGCAAATTTTCACGACGGGGCACGGATAATTTCCGGTTGGCTCGGTGGTTTCCGCCCTTGACAAATGACTGTGGTTTCCGGTTATTGGCTGCCGCGACGACCCCCTTCGCATTCCGAATCAGGGAGAATGTCTCGTCGAGTGCTATCAAATGCATGGAGGGTACGGCGATACATCAGACGAAAGGTACGACGCGTAATTGTTGCTTTCGTTATCGTTGCTCGAATATTTTGTCATCGGATCGCGAATTTTATGCAAATTTCCGGACTGCGACGGATTTTTGGAAGAAAATGAATACTTTTCACTTTTGACGATATTTTGTCAAAATCGCAAATGTTAAAGTCGTACGAGCACTACGTAGCGCGGAAGATTAAAATGCAATGCGTCAATGTTGAATTATATAATTCGCACACGTTAAGAGAGACCGGAGTTAGTTGGCTAAAGAGGTAAACCGGCTAATCAATTATCTCTGCTGTTTTCTGACAGATCACAGAATCGAACAAGCAGAGACTCCAAACGTGTCAAGGATGGTTGTAAAATCTCCGCTCGCCTAATTCAATAACCAGTCAGATTAGACAACAGAAAGAATCAATACCTCTTCAACCAACTGCTCCCAGTTTCCCTTATTCGAGCCGATTTGTAATATTCATTCACACCCCCAACTGGAAACCTTCCCTGCGATTCGAGTTATGAAAGCTCTTTTTAACGCTTCATCACTGAAGAACCGTCTTGTTTCAAGGAGGATATTTATTAACTCGCTATACTCGAACGGCCGAATGCGCGGAACATCCTAGCCGCGCTATTGAAAACGGCCAAGTGGCGCGACAACGATTTACTCACAGCGAACGTTGAGGAAATATCCAATGCTGGTGAAAATGCCCAGCATATGCCGCGTGTAGCACTTGTACCAGCCGCTCTCGGCCCGAGTGATTTTTGTGAAGTTCAACCATCCGTCATCGCTCTGCTCCACGGGAGGCGGGCCATTGTCTGAAACACAAGCGGAAAGCTGGTGGATATACGAATTAACGCGCTGGAAACAGCACGCACGGTCCGCGGGATTTGCGTTAACGTCGTCGCAGTTCGCGTCAGCCGGCCGAGTCGCGCGGCTCTCTCTCTCTTCTCTGACGATCCCGCGACATTTTTCACAGGGACGCCGCGCGCTACGCGACGATTAACTGCCTGCGATCGATCGTCGACGGGGGTAGAAAATCGAAGGGGATTGAGGTTTCCGAATCTTCGCGTCCGACATTTTTTTGCGCGTCAAATATCACCGATGCGTAACAATCGCGCGTACACGGAGGGTATTATTTTGCAGTAACTGTGGAATTACCGTGGAATTCCGCGACCGAGGAGCATATCGATGTTCTAATCAAGAAGGAATGATGGAAGATTTGCGAGAGCCGAACGCTACGTTCTGCGAGCGTAGAAAAAGGGAAGATTATCAGTCGCGATATAAAATACACAGTATAAGAGAGATCGGTTTAAATAGAGTGTAATTTCAAATCAAGTTTACAGTTGAGTGAAGTAACATTTTTAAATAGAGTTACAGTTTTATCAAACTTAATGATATACAACGTAGTTAAATAGACTTACGGTTTAAATCAAGCGCAATGTAACACGCGCATTGGAAAGAGAAAGAAGAGTACAAAGAGATAGGACCGAAATGTTCGTTTCATAATGCAACACAATGCCATTTTGCTAATAATAGCCAATCGTCACCTAACTCAGTAATACCGACTAAACCATGATGCACTTCATCCCGAAACAGTTACGCCGCAAAAAGCACTCGAATCCTGATCAAACTGTTATCAAGTTACTGCGCTATTCTGAGACAATGTCACTTAAAGCTCGCTGGGATATTTAATTATACTCATGGATATTTAATTATACTATGGAATGTATCGCTTTCGCGATTAAGAGCTTTTCAGTAACGCTATTAAAGTTGTATCAGTCCGCCTGCTTCCGGCGATATCGAGCTCAAGGGATAAATAGACAAAGAGCGGGAGAGCTGGCAAGTCATTCGTGTGAATTATTCGCGAAATAATTGAGGTAATTGCGCAATACGTCAGTCCGGAGCGCGACGTGTCGCCGTGGCGGAATAAAAAATTTATTACCGATGAAGCACCACGGGAGACTAGAAAGCCGCCGGATGCCGTGAAGAAAATAACGGAAACGGGAGGGAACGATGAGAGAGAGAGAGAGAGAGAGAGCGAAAAGGGGCGACAAGAAGGGGAAGGGACAGTGGTTCGACTTATTCATAAGTACGGAAATGACTCTGAAAAGACCGATATCCATCTCGGCGGCCTTCCTTACGCGAAACTTTCGCCCGTTCTATTTCTTTCTTCCACTTTTTCGCCGTTCCGCCACCAAACATTCACCCAGCATATCCGCCCGCTCTTTCTCTCCCCCGCCGACCTCGTTACGGCGAAGCCGAGGATTCGACGCAGCTGTCGGATGCGAGCTAGTCGAAAGTATAGCGCGCTCTCTCGCGAATGTGGAGCTATTCTGGCGCGCGGGGAACAAAGGAAGAGTGCAGTCGGAAGACACGCTCACGAGAAGCGGAGGATTGTAGCGGACGGGGAGGTCGCAGGGGGGTGAGCAGAGTGAGGACCGAGGGAGAGGATTGCTCGTATCGTCCGCGGATGGAGTTTTGCGGTGAAACTTTTACGCGGGCTGGCCATAACCGCGCATAGAGGACAAGGCGCAGGGCGAAGGGTGGTTGTTAAGGGGCGCCGGCCTGCTGAGGGGTGGTTAGGGGCCTCTCGCCACTAACGTTGCCAAAGCACGGCCGATTGTGTTAACGGTATCCGCGGCCGGCTCGTCGGTGAGACGTCGCGCCGTTCTCATATGAAATAGCGTCGCGCCGTGACTTGGTCCAAAAAGCACCGACATTTCCGGCAAGCTCGGCCGGGATTCCGGCAATTTGGCTGGGAAACAAACGAAGCCGGCTCACCAAGTGGATTGGAGGCCTCCGCCGCCAGCGCGACCCGGAATCCCTTGTCGAAATAGCGCGAACAAAGAGGGCTGGTTTACCGCAAATCGCGCACCGAGAGAAATCTCACGAAAATTATAGTCATTCTCGGCTCCTCGACTACCCCGAATCGAGAGATTCGTCTAGTCGGTCGGAGTCGAAAGCTAGTATTCGCTTATGCGATTATAGTTACGAATAAAAAAGGTGGCCAAGGTGGACGTGTAAGATCGGAATTTTTTAAAGTGTATCTAAAAGCCGTTTAAAAAAATCACAGAGCATTTGCGTATAGTTGACTAATGAGAAATAAACAGATCTGGCAAAGTAGCTCATTTTACTTTTACGCGAGAATTATAGCACATATTCATTTGTTACATCAACTTCTTCTACGAACAGCTTCAATTTCGAGATATTTTAGTACACGAAATTACATCTGCAGACGTTGATTCAAGTAAAATATTTCCCTGGTAAATTATCTAAGTAAAATATATATATTTACCTGATCCAAGTTTACTCGATTCAAGTAACATTTTGCTAAGGAGTATTGAAATAATTATCCACTTGAACCGAGCGCTTCTTTTTTCTGCTCAGGCGCCGGTCACCGTAGACCCACCCTCTGACGATTACGCGTCAGTTCATGTTAATTAACGCGCGCATCCGTCCCCTCGTCTAATTTTCAGCTCATCCCGGCGGAAACGGCGGGATTTGCAATTCGAACAAAAGCTCGCAAACAGTGTTCGTAACATCGCAAACTCGGACCCATGTCCGAGGAGCGTTCCGCATACATTATACCCGCGTCCCGATATCCCTCACATTGTGCGCGATCCTCCGAATGAACACGATCGTATAGAGACCTCCCCCTCCCCCCCTGCTGCCCCTTCGGGCGATTTCACGCAGCTGACGGCCCCGTTTCTTCTTGCAAAACGTTCCCGAGTGCAGCGCGCATCGGCGTGATAGATAGAGCGCGCGCGGCCGAGTGTGGTGATGAATGATTTCCGCCGTTTTTATTTCGGCCTTCGTGCGGAAAGCCTCTCCTTCGCGCGACAACACGCGGAGACGTGCGTCCGGATGGAGCGCCCGGAAATTCGAGCCGGGTCGCGCGCTTAATCGCTTAAACATTCGTTTACCACAAAGCGATTCGCAGCTTTGTGCGAAGCCGTATCGTGAATTCGCGCGAGCGCACGACTCGTTGGGACACGGGGGAGAGGGGAATCGGAGGGAGTCCGAATTTGTCCGGGCTGCCTCCCGTAAAGGACGCTTTGAGGAGGAGAGTGAACGTGCTTTCTCGAGACATGCGGATTGGGACGTTTAATAAGAGTGAGCGTACCAAAAAGAAATTGGGGATGAGCGGCGGGTCTGCGAAGGATCGGATGCGGGGGAAGAGGAGGAAGGGAAAGGAGGAGAGGAAGGGAGAGGGTCCGCGAGAGAAGGCATTGCCCGGAGCGGGTACGTGCTCCAAAGGATATTAAAGTATTTTAATTGCAGCGGATCTCGCGGAACGCTGGAAGGATTTATTCGAAATCACTCGATTGAGTCTATGAATAGGGATTAAGCTCGGGCCCCGACGGCGCGGCTCGATGCAGCGCGCGCCCCGTCGAGCGAATTCCAGACGTCAGGAGAGAGGAAGGCAGAAATAATTGAATATTTAATAGGATAACTCTCACATATAGCCGTTTTCCCATCGGCGCGCGCGACCGGCGTCATCCGTCACGACGACGGAACGTCGATTTTTCTGTCACGTCCCGTGTGCCGCCCGGTGGCTGTCGATTAATTATACAGTTCGCCCGGCCGTAATGCGAAGATGGGACGACTTTAATAAATCCAGTTATTCCTCGCAGCCCATCCACCAAATTGTTTCCACCGATCCGCGGGCACATATTCGCCGTAAAAGGCGGCGATCTCCGGTCCCATCACGGAGATACTGGTGCGAGGGTATCGTCCTTTCCGAGCAGGACGTGTAAATACTGCGTCATGTATGCTTCATCGAAATCGTGTTATTTTTATCTAAATGTACGCGTAAGATCGTAGTCGTTATAATCAGGGATATTGTTATTAGAGTTTTACATATATAATTAGAGTTACTTAGGCGATTTTCGATTTTATATGTATAAACATAAGTTTGAAATCGTGAAACTTTCGATCTAGGAAGTGGTGAGGCATATTTGCGATACGCGTACGATGAGTGTGCGTGTGCGCGTGTTTCGTGTATTAACTATAGCCGGATTTAATTAATTTAACAGCACGAGGTTGCGATCAGGATTAGTCTCGTAAAAGGTTAATAATTAAATTCAGTTAATTAATATTACAAATATATAATACGACTAATGACGGTAGAGATATCTCGTTATCGCACAGTTCTCTCTCAGAGTTATCTCATCCCGAAGGTTATATCGATATGTGTATGCAAGCAGCTACGCGGAGAATTTTACAGTAAAATTAACTAATTAATTATATAGTACAAAATATTACATAGTAAATTCCGTAGCGAACACATCCCCGTATTCTGCATGAATGTATTACTCTTCTGCGTTTTATATGTTTTATATGTATGTATTAATTATATATTTTAGGAACTGAAGCCTATTATTAAGGGACTTATTACGTTTCTTAGCAATCAGAAAAACAAGAATAAAATTTATATAATAATAATAATAATTATTATTATTATTATTGGTGGGAAAGCAACTTTAACTAAATAAACCCCTCACATACATAAACGAAAACAAATATGAGGGAATATTTAATTTGACGATATCTTTATAAATAAAAAAACAAATACGAAAAATAGTAAATAGAAATAATATAAAATAACAAAAATAATATACGAAGGAAAGCTCTAATGTTCCCTTCGTGCAAAACAAGAGATAATTTGGGATAATAAAATTCAGCGGTGTTATGGTTATAATAATGTTACAGTTATAAATCTTTCCTTTTTACAAGAAAGAAAAGTACAGTAAAATTGTTGGATTAAAAAGTTGAAGAAAATTTCTATGAAAAAGGAAAGCTATAATATTCCTTT